TCAAGGGCCTGTTATCACCAGCTAATGCAGAGACGAAATACAATAGGGGTAAGACATTCATGTTTAATGTTTTATAAGAAATTGATTAATTTATACATCATTTTTTATGCAACGTTTCACAAAGAGGGCTCCACGAGGCATAAGCTTACCGGCACTTCTTAAAAACAATACGCAGCAGAGTACAAGTACATAGACGTGGCATAATAAAACCAAAACAACCTGGAACAGCGCATGAGGTCGTTATATCATGCGCTAAATCGACAATTGATATTATTAAAGGTCAAATAACTTCCAGCAAGTAAAGAATGTTCACACTGACTCGGAGACTTCATTAAAAATATTCTGAAATTAACCACCAGTCAACCTTACACCTATAGGGTATCTATACAAAAGAAAACATTATTGTACTACACTTTGCTTTTAATATGCATTTTTAAAATTTTTATTCTGATATTTCGATAAGGGCAATCATCATTAAATACAGACGCCAGAACCCCGAAAATAGAACCAAATATTAAAGAAATGACAGAGGCAAAATCGATGGAAGAGGTCCCAGAAAACATTGCAAGTAAAGTTCAGAATGTACTCAAGTTCACAAGAGATGCGGCAAGTGACTGGAAAAAATCTGGCAACGATTTTATAATGGACATCTGGGATTTCGGAGGACAACCGATATATCATGTGATACAACGAGTAAGTCATTATAGTAAATAATAAATTAAACAAAATTATAGTTATTATTAAATTACAAACAATTTTTAGTTATTTCATTCAGTTTTAGATAATAAAAAGTAAATGATTAAGAATCATTTTCTTGTAGATTTTCATGGTATCTTTTGCCGTCGTTTGTGTGGTATTTAACCTAGAAGATGATCTTGACGCCCCCGCTAAAGTCAGGGATCCGACTACCGTAAGCATTACGTCTTTCATTATCTCTTAGCAAGTTTCGACTCAGAATATATTATTTAGTACGATATTTTATTATTGATTTCAGGGTGAAATGTATCAACATCGAATGACATATCTTCAGTTTATTCTGTACTGGATTCGTTCAGTTTACACCAACAGTAGAGATTCAAAATTGGATGATGGGCAACTTTCCCCGCCAGTACTAGTGATTGGTACGCATTTAGGCAGCCTCGAAGGGAATGAAGAGGAAAAGAAAAGAAAGGTATGAAACAACTACGTCATGCACAAAGAAAACAATCCGACAGAAATTATCATAAACAAATCTCAGACAAACAAATGCTGAAGGTAATAAGTTATGCTGCCTAAATTTATCGAATTACATGAGATAAAGCCCCCAAGCAATAATAAAATGATTAAATGTAAATGATGTACATTAATAGGCCAACTATTGACACGAAAACATGTTTTTTTGTTAAAGGAAATTCATATTGTTAATTCTTTTCTGTTGCAACTTCTAATACCACGTTGTATTGTCCTAAACTACATTATAGGCATACATATTATAATTACGATACAAAAATCCATTAAAGTAAATTAAGTAAGCATCGGCGGTAATGCATATTAAATTATTATTATTATTATTATTATTATTATTATTATTATATTATTACACCCCAATTTATCCGAGGTTCAGGGGGTGAGCCCGGATGGAGTTGTCTAAACACCTTGCGATTGTAAACTGCACGCCATACAAAATTTAATTTGCGTGTCATACTCGATTTAGTCGTTGGTGGTGCTGCCTAGAATCAGAAAAAAAAAACAATAATGGAAAAGGGACTGGCAGGTTTAATTAATCGGGCCGCTGGAGATCATGACTAGCGCAAAACCATGTCACATTTTGTGGTCGGTAGCGATCTGATTGGGTATATGATGTTTTACATTGACATTGAATTTGTCTCCGCATAATACAAGAATAGCTGAG